GATTGGGCAAGTTCCTAATGTCGGAACTTGTTTGGCACAAGTCATGTCCTGTTCTGGGCATAAAAGCCCCAGTCGCGGGGTGGCATATCCCCCCGCGGGTCCCGCGTACCTTGGGGGGTCGGGATGGGAGCAAACATTCTGGCGACTTGCTGCACACACAGTCTCTCAGTTACTGGCCACCAGTTAAAGGTCCGGTGTCTCTTGCCCGTTATCTATGTGTTAGAGTTTCGGCATCTCTTGCCCGTTACACATGCATTACAAGATCCGGCGTTTCTTGCCCGTTACTTTGCGTCATTAAACTCGGCGTCTCTTGCTCGTGACGCTATGGAGAAGTTCTCCATTAAAGTGGTGCTATGTTGTTAGCATTGTGTACTTCGCTAATAGCTACATGTATTATTGTTGCCTTTACTTGTGTATCATTCAAGGTGTTTCTGGGGCCCCATAGCAATTCCTGTAAATCCAGAACATTTGTATTTGTTGTTTCAAGTTGCGGCTGGAATAAACGCTCGGCGAAGAAGGCTGAAGCATACCCAAAATCTGTGTTCCTGTGTCCTCTCAATTTCTCTGGGCCACTACGTCACATACATTTCTGCTGCGACCGTGTAGTTGAGTTCACAACGACTTTGCGCGGTAACGCCGGGCGATCCGAAAGTAGCGGGAAAAGTTTGCAGTTTTCGATAAATTAACAAAAACGGAAACTCTAAAAAAGTCATTTTGATTAAGCAGACATTAGATGCAAAGGTTTATATGACTATTGAATCTAAAGAAATATTTGAAATCACACGTAGTGAGTGACCTATCGCCTGTGAATTTAATTTTAGTGGTTTTTCGCTCTTGTGAACAAGGAAAATTCCAGAACAAGGAAAACGACTTGCGGTATAACAGCCGGAGTGGACAACAAAATTAGCTGTTGATCTCCGAATTCAAGTTTCATGTATGACAGTAGGACCGAGTTTTCAGCGGCACGGTGGTTTTCCAGGAAGTCTGCCCTTCAGTAAGAAACTTCACAGACATTTTATGCATGGATGTTTGTTCCTAATTTATTTACTTTTTTACGGGTACCCGGCCCGGAAAAATGGAACCAGGTTTTGAAATCGATGGGCAGGTACCCGGGTACCCGGCACAGGCCTACCACTTTGCAAAATCAATTATACAAAACACCTGCATGAGCAGAATCGAGCTAGTGTTAAATCTTACCTTTTTCTCATCACCATCTTTCAGGAGATTCAGCCCACTCTTTCTCCCAAGAGACTCAGACATCCTCTGCCCCATGAGGTCCACATCTGGAGGAGGTGACACACTGCGCCCCTGGGGGTCTACCCATGTGTAAGTCTGATGGCAGACGAAGGAGCCTGGTACCCTGCCAACAGACTTGACATACAGGACAAGCTTTTTGGCAGTCCTGAGCACCTGAAAATTGAATAAAAATTTATTTTTTTAAATGGTTAAATGATCATTCAATTATTGGATTACTAAACATGGAGCTTATCTGACCTGCATGCCGGAGAGGGACACGGACATATATTAAAAAAACCTGGCCTTGCAATGCCTTTGTATGAAATAGAAACCAACCAGTGGCCATTTTACCTTACCAAGGAGAAGTACAAATGCGCAGGTTGGCTCACTTCTACTGACACCAGGGAGAACAAAGGCGAGCATTGCCAGGCAAGCTTTGTATTCGGCTCGTTAAAATGGCCGCTAGTGGATTCAATGATCTCTATAAGCTGATAAAGGCCACTCCTATCAGCATGTACCTGTACCATGCCATGTTTACCACACAATGGAAACTGTGACATTATCATACTTGCCTGAAAAACAATGTTACAACAAGGGAAATGACAATAATATGTACATCAGTGCATGAAATGGGGCAGAAAAAATGGTTGGACAAAATGTCTTAGCACCATCAATTTTGTTCTGCCATTACAAGCATTTGGTCAGACATTTAATGTGGTCACATGAAAATGCATCATTGCAGTATGAATGCCATATCATCACCGTAAAATACAAAAACCTTACAGTGTTAACATTGATTAATGTTCCAAAATACTGCATGATATAAAAAACATGCCGTGCTTAGCTTGCTGCACAGTTAGCAACCTTTTGGCAACTTGCCAATAGCCTATCACACTTGTCATGCATGGTGCAAGATGGTTGCATTATGGGCATCAATCATCCTCTAAAATGCCCATATAATCCGTATTAAGTCATGACCTCATTGGAAGTCACAAAGCCATTGACTGATTTTTGTCCGCAAAGACCTTACGTTTTGGATAGACTTCAGTCTGGCAACATGGAACATGGTAGAAACTTGCATGCTGGAATATGCAATCAATTAAGCACAAATGCCATAGTGTTTGAACAATTAAAGACATAAAAAAGGCACTGAACAAGATCTCTGAAACCAGCTGAAGTCAACTGTTTTAGGGATGAAAACTGTTGGCGCAGACACCAATCAATGGCAACTTGACTTGAAGCCTACATATGTACATGTATTTGTAAAGAGTAACCTGCTTTACAGGTACCCCTACTCACTCACTTTAACATACCCCACTCTGATCTTACATGTACAGCATATTCCACTGATCTACATGCTAAGGGTAGCTATTCAATTGCGTGTGTTGAATAGTTGAATCTACATGTATTCCATGAAAACAAATGTCCTGATGAATTCACAAACGTTTTCTTATTCCTCCATGTATAAAGTAACTTATACAGACCAACGCTCATTAACAATAATTAAATATTTACACAACTTGACCAATGATTGCAAGTCTGTACATCGTCCGGACATTCTGTTTGAGCACTCTGGCAGTTGGTCGGACAAATTCGGTAAATGGTTGGAAAATGTTCAACTGTAATTTCTGTGTACATTATTATTGAGAATATGATGATTGATTTTTCTCCAGCACTTCCATGTAAAACCAGTTCTCAGAATTTAACTTCCCTCAAAGATCATTCATGAGACTGTGAGCAGCAGAACAGCCTTATTTCTGATGACATACAAGTATCACAGTGCTTACTGCAGTGCATGGTGGGAACAATAGGAGTTACTGGTGTGGTGTACATGTAGCTGCTGTAAGTAGGAGAAATGGCTGATGTACATGTAGGAGTTACTATGCCAGAGGTACACTAAATCATAAGAAAGTAAAAGGCACCATCTTACCAATTCTAATTGAGGAAGATTCCCCAGAAGATTCAAAATAATAGTTACAAAAAATGGCCTTTTGGAAACACAGATATCATTATATGCTGATGACAGCAGTGCCGGGTGATACACGTACATGTACCCCAGTACCTGTGTTGTGTAGGCTATGATGACCCTAATGCTATCCCACCATGCACTGCCAGTGTTGTAGTCGAATCACCAATGTCGAGTCCGAGTCACGAGTCACAAACTTCACAAGTCATGAATAAAGTTGTTCAGCCAATTATTCTAAGTGTATCAAACCATGAAGGAACATCCATGATCAAAGTTGTACATTAAAGTTCGTCATGAGCTACATGTATCTGCTTTGTTTATGCTGATAAATTACATACACTGCTAAAGCTATGGGTACTTTTTTGCTTATGAAAATCATCCACCATTAAACTTTAAATTCCTGTATCTTTGTTTATTTCTTTATTTAGGAATGAAGTGCTGGGCCGATTTTAACCTACTTTAAGCAAGCTCAGGAGAACGCACGAGCCAAAAATAAGGGTCAGACCCAGGCCTAAAAGGCCATTTTACTGAAAGTATTAATATTCGCAACTGGTTTTGGAGACTATGAGGCTAAATATGTATGTCCATACTCAGATGTAAATAACAAACCTACGCCCGGCGCATAGTCTGATTACCGCCGCACAGTTTGTGGATACGGAATAGGACACGTCTGGTTGCCTCCTCAGTGGATATTTAGCCGTACAGGGCAAAGTGGAAAATGTGCAACACGATGCTCCACGCATGCAAAGCAGTGATACCACGGGTAAATACAAATTAATTTTTGATGGCGTATACGGTAAATATGTTTAACGAAAATAAATAACTCAAGTCCTGAGTCACCAAGCTCAAGTCTGAGTCATCATGGTCAAGTTCGAGTCGGAATTATTATCCAATGTGACTCAAGTCCCGGACTCAAGTCATACAACATTGTTCACGGCGGTAGATACTGTGATAAATGTACGTCATCTACATATATGGTGCTTTTTGGTTTGTTGGGACTGTTTCAAATTCTTGATCGGTTGGACATTTTCTGTAACTAGCTAAAAACCTAATGCCACATGTGAATTCTAATGCATACCAATAGAGCCTGAAAGTTGACCCCTGATGGTGCTTCCGAACCCTTGGATAGAAAAAAGGACATGCAGAAATTTTAGAATTTGTAATATTTTTGTTCAGTTACTTCTTAAACACTCTACTCTTAAAAAGGCCTTTTGTGTAAAATATTTGCTAGCATATCAATTTATGGAAACTGAAAAATGCCCTGACCTTAAAGAGAAATATACTACCAAAAATTGACCTCTCACTTCCGAAAATCCAAAATACATGAAGAAAAGTGCAATTTGGTGGTCTTGTACACAGATGACCAATTACAGAATTACAATAGTCTTTCAGTAAAAGCCAAATTAAAAACAAACAAAAATATCTCAAGGATTTTAAAATTTATAAGGAAATAAACTTAAAGCAATAACATACTTTTACAAAAGATTCTGATG